AAATTTTGGGGAGGGGCTTAATTTCACCTTATGTCTAGAAAACATGCTGGGCCTTCCTATGGGGGGGGGGGCGAATTGTCGGAGAAACATGGTATTGAATGAAATAATGAATCTATTCATGATCCAGATAACTGAACAACACACGTCTAGGAGAGACCATCCTATTATCAGTGGTGGGATTCAGCCAGTTCACACCAGTTCAGAAGAACCAGTTGTTAACTTTCTGAGCAGTTTGGTGAACCGGTTGCTGGAAGAAATCATTAGGGCAGAGAACCAGTTGTTAAATTATTTGAATCCCACCACTGCCTGTTACACGTACTGATGGACACTCGGTGAATGTTTATTTCTTTCAGGCTACATCCGCAACACAAGCAGCATATCTCCACGAGGTTATTCCTCCAGCACAACCCCTCAGCAGTCTAATTACAGCACCCCCAGTAACAGCATGAACGGCTACAGCAATGTCCCCATGTCCAACTTGGCTGTTCCCAGTTCACCTGGATTTATTAATGGTTCTCCCACAGGATCGCCCTATGGCTGTGAGTAGCTAGCTTCCTTCTCTTCTCTTCCTCCAGCTCCACCTCACCTTAGGGCTGACTTAAGTTAAGAGGCAATCTGCCAGAAAATGTTTATTTCCTTTCTTTGGGTCATCTGCCAGAAGGTGCCTCAACTTTGTAATCAGGCAATTAAGCCCAAAATTTTGCAGAACAAGCTTGTTAAAAAGGCAGGATTGCTTTTGTCGACAGTTTGTGGTTATCTGCCACAAATGTATTAGGTGGCTTTGTCTCTCTGGGACTTTAGCTCTTGGTATCCTTCAGCATCAGCAGCTGGGAATCTAATATCTCACCAAAATCCATAACTTCGGTCTGCCCTGCTTTCCTCATTCTCTTCTGGTCTCCAATGCCAGGAGTGGCCCACAAGCAGCTCCAAGTTGCCCACAAGTTGTATTTATTATTATTACTATTATTACTTTAACTATAACAACCTTTTTGAAGTTGTGTATGGGAAGGGAGAGAAAGAACAGAGAGAATAAGAAGAATGTTCCCAGATGAGAAAGAAAAGGGGTACCAAAAGGAGAGGAAATATGTATTCACTGCTTGATTAAGCCTTACCTCCATTATCACAAATATCTATCAGCCGTTGTTCCTAAATTTTTGTCTCCTTTAATGCAAAAGGAATCAGTGTGCAGTTAATGTATTAGATAGGTGTGATTGGATGTTGTTATTTTCATGTCCACAATGCCTTGGGCTTAGTAGTGGTGGCCCCCTTACAGGAAATATGTTGTACTTATGGCTAACTTCTCAGAAAACTACAGTTCCAAGAGAGATCATCAAGAAAGAAGATCTTCCAAAGTGTTTTATCCAAAGCCCTGATGTGTGTGTGTGTGTGTGTGTGTGTGTGTGTGTGTTTTCAATCTTTTATTTATTGTCTTCCTTCACCCTCCAATTTTATATGCATAACAGTTTTTAATATTTGAATGGACTGCAGCATACTAGCCTGCAACTAACCAGGGAAAACAAGTAAGGAAACTCAGGCACTTTGTGGGACAACTAGACTAAGTACCAAGAGAACAGATCTGCAAAAATCAGATCAATATATGAAAGTCCCTTAAAAAAACATCTTTCCCATGATGATGTGTATGTTTTAAGGATAGTCCCAAATAACTTTCATTGTTCTATGAAAAGCAGTGCTGAGGGCTCCTTTTTTTTTTTTTTTTGCTTCCTTGGAGATACTAGAGTAGAATGGGTTAAGAATTGAGGTTTCTTCTGAATATTGCTGGTGAATCATGGATTAGGACTGGGGGAGAAATATCTCATTGGCTATATCATAGAATAGAATAGAATAGAATAGAATAGAATAGAATAGAATAGAAACAGGAACAGAAAAGGAATTTGTCTTTGGTGCATCTGCTGTCAGTGTACATAAAGAAAAAAAATACATTCATCAAGAATCATAAGATACAACACTTAGCGATAGTCATCAAGAACCATAAGAGAAGAATCATACAGTGATACTAATAAGGAAACAAATCATACTAGGAAACAAAAAAGCAATATAAATTGTAAAGATACAAGCAACACAGTTATAGTCATAAGTGGGAAGAGATAGGTAATAGGAAGGATGAGAAGAATAACAGTAATACAGTCTTACTAAGTAGTTTGACAGTGTTGTGGGAATTAGTTGTTTAGCAGAGTGATAGCATTCGGGTCTAGTTGTTCTGATATGCAACAGGAATATAAATAAAGTATAAATAAATAAAATAAACAAATAGCAACAGGAACATAAATAAAGAGATTGCAGCTAGTGATTCTAGACTTTACTTCCAGTATTAACCACATTTAGGAAAAAAAAAACATATTATTTGAATGTGCTTTTTTGGTGGGGGGAGAGAGAGAGAGATCAGGAGACTGTGAAATCTAGTACTGCTTTAAGCATGAAGCCATCACGGTGACTTTGGGTCATTCTTAGGAAGGGGATCCTGGTGAGACGTTTCCAAAAACATTGCCAAGAATGTCAAATGGCCTTCTCCAGGTAGTCATGAGGAATCAATATTAACTCAAAGGCTAAATAAACAAGCAAATAACTGCAGTTTTATAAAACTTAGAATAAATTCCAACGAATGTGCTAGGATTGATTTCAGAGTTGGGAGGCAAATTAAAACAACATTCTCAAGCACCCTAAGAATACAGTGGATGAGATTAGGCATATTCTCAGGAAAAGAGGTGTGTGTGTCAGTGTGTGTGTGTGTGTGTGTGTGATGACATAGTGCAATATTTTGATGTAAAATTTTGAGGACAGATTTATCCACTCACTAGGAGATAAAGTCTCTCAAACGATTAGGCACTACTTCCTTATAGAAGACATTTATTAACCCGTGGCAGTATTGAATTGTTTTCCACACTTGTCCACACTTGTAGGATGAGAACATTTTGAATTTTTTTTTTTTAGTGGTAAGTTGCTTGTTTGGAAAAAAAAAAAGTCAAGAAGAAAACTGAAATGTTGATTGCTTTTGCACACAGAGTTTAAAGTTGGCCAAACGGGTGTTTGCTGGAGTTTCTCACCCCCTCCTTTTTTTTAAGGAAAGAGAAAACTTACACATTCTGAATCCTGGCTGAATTGTATGTGTCAAGTTTCAGTTTCAGAGAAAAAGAAAAAATAACAACAGCTGAATTATATATTCCTGACCATCAGAGATTAGAATGAGATGCTGACAGATCCTTGAGAAAAGTAAAATTAGACAATCATTCAAAGCTAGAGAACATATACAGCAATGTAAAATACAGTGGTGATTCTGTAGGTATAACACAGGTCAATGGAAGCATCTTAACCCAAAATGAAATTTGTTTGCTCGTTTTAAATATGGTCCAGATCTATCGGACCACATTTCCCGCTGTGACATATGGAGATGATGGCAAATGTAATCAGCTCGTGTAGAATGCATTAGGCTGGGGAAATCTGCTTGAAAATATTTGTTTAGAATGTTAACTATCTTGTATTTCACAATATTGTGGACCTCCTCATTTTTCCAGGTTTCCTCCCTTCACAGAACTTTATCTTGGCTCAGCTAACCCTGGTTAGCTCTTTGCCCTCATCTATCCTGCTTTGACATGTTTCTGTTTATGGTACATGGCTAACAGGAACAAGGAGTTTTTCTCTTCCCTGTTCATGAGCTGCTCAATGCAGATAGTTTACATTTTAGGAACTGATTCCTGATTATGGAATTCTCTTCTAGTTTCTCATCTGGTTCCACCCATTTTTATATGTTTTAAGAGAGATTTGAAAACTTACTTAACAATCTAGACCAGGGGTGTCCAACCTTGGCAACTTTAAGACTTGTGGACTTCAACTCCCAGAATTCCTCAGCCAGC